TATATAGGAGTCGTGCTGCCTTGAACTGATTGTTTGAAGGCATTTTCCCCCTTTTTCAAAGGGTTAGCAGTTTCAGCTGTCCGTCCGTGGGTCAGATATGGTTCTCAAACTGACCCTCCATCCCCCTCCCTCCACCCTGCAACATGATGTCAAAAATGTTATATAACCTTACCCACAAGATTTTTATTTTCTAGTTTCATGCCAATTTATACTACTCGTTCATATACAATGGAAACACAGTTCTATTTTAAGAAATGTGTTTTGTTTGGCGCAAAAATAACGGCAAAGGTCAGTGGTCCCTGCAGATGTGTGCAACCAGTTGGGAAGAAGAGAGCAGGTTTCAGCCCTTCAGTGGTTGTTTGGTTGCAAACAACAAAGATGAGTTTGGGACCCTTTCTTGACAACACTCAATATTTATATTCCATTTCATCGGCAGCTCGTGCTACATGTTGTGTTCATCCCACATTATAGAAAGGAGGCAGGCTAGCATTGGCATTGGTAGACAGCATGTCCAAAGTTTAAATATTTATATATACAGGCAACAATGTTATGTAGCTCCCTCACACAAGGAGAAAACATGGATGATCTGGACAACGAGAAGCTAATTAAATAATTACATAAATAAAAAAATGTTTTATCTGCCTGAATCCACGGGAATGCAGCATAATTCTCTGTTATGGGTCCAGCTGTAATGATGGTAAATGACCAGACTGTCAAAACCCAGAGCAACGAGTTGTCCTGTAACCACAGCATTATGTATGTTAGCCGTGATTCTAATCATGACAAGGAGTAACATATTGTGTCACAGAATAATTTAGAGAGAGCTGACATCACAGATAAGACGGCTAACCTCGGTCCCCTTGCTAGTTAAAGGACCAATGTGTTAAATAAAACGGTGTGCTGTATTAGTCTCCCTTTGTATGGTCTGATACAACCTTGAAATAACAAAAACAAGGTATGTGATTACAGATTTTGGCACTGAATACCTTGGAAATGAGGGCTTTTGCACATTCTAGCCAGGCCTAATTTTGTCCTGTTGTAATTTAATATGTCTCTCCTGGTCTTTTGTTTCCCACTCACTCCCCTCCATCCTTGTGCCAGTCTGTGTATGTGTGGGAGCTGCTGAGGTTCCTTCACTCTTTATTTTATGAGATATCACATGAAAGTCCTCCTGCTCCCTCTCTCGTCTCCCCTGTTTTTCTCCTGTTCCTCCTCCCTTCGCTGCCCTCCATCCGCATTCCCCTCCCGGCCTGCTTTTTATCAGTGTCTGCTGGACATGTTTACTGCTCCTTTGCCAGGCTATGGCGGACTGCCGCTCCACCACACACAAAAACCACTGGCTGATACTGTAGATCAACTTAATGGAGAAACGCCGACAAATTTAAGAAGATAGACAACACATACTGTCTATTACACCCCAGACAGGAAGCTAACAGTTTTGTCCACTATTTCCAATGGTCTGCAATACATCCTGAAATGTCCCAGCTGCTTAGGTGGCTAGTAGAGCAGACAGACACAGCCAGGAGTGTTTGGCTGGTTGGTTATAAATTGTCTGATTATTCCTGCTGCTCAGGCCTGTCCAGTCAGTGGTCTGCAGCAGGTAGTTTCAGCTGGGCAGCTCAACTGATCAGAAACAATTAATAAGAATGCTGGCACTAATCACATACTATGTCTTATTGTGCTCTAAAGGAAAGCAATGGATGTAATGCATCTGCAAAAGATTGTGTTTTCAGTATAAGGGCTGTGGCTTATCATTTTCATTCATTTATTTATTCTACTAGGGTTGCAGCGGTATACCAATACCATGTTATACCGTGGTATGGAAGTTTGCTTATCTGCGGTATTGAATTTTACAGTATTAGTGTTAAAAAATATAGGACATGTATTTTGTAAAATTCTAAAGCGTTTGTTGAACCAAAAAAGCCCTTTCTGTTTTCTTTTCTTCAAAGGTCATTGTAAGTGATGATAATAATTAGAATAATAATTGTATAATACTGTTATACTGTTATGTTTTCTGAGATGGTTATCATACCATGAAAATCTCATGCCATTGCAATCCTATTCATAACTGGAAACAAAGTCACTGTACTGCCTGAACTACACTTAAAAACAGTTGTATTAGTTCAATTCAATTCAATTTTATTTGCCCCCTCCCTCTGGAACTCTCTCCCCAAACACATCCGTGACTGTACCGACCTTCCAACATTCAAATCACTGACAAAAACACACCTTTTTAAAATTGCTTTTAATGTTTAGCTTAGTCTGATGTGTTTTTAATGTTTTACTATTTGATGTTGTTTTGCTGCTTTTATGTTTTTATGTAAAGTGTCTTTGAGTATTTAGAAAAGCACTTATAAATAAAATGTATTATTATTATTATTTATTTGTATAGCGCCAATTCATAACAGAAGTTATCTCAGCACACTTTTCAAATAGAGCAGGTCTAGACCGAACTCTTTATAACATTATTTACAGAGACCCAACAGTACCACCATGAGCAAGCACTTGGCGACAAGGGCAAGGAAAAACTGCCTGTTAAAAGGCAGAAACCTAGGACAGATCCTTCGGCTCTAGGTGGGTGGTCGTCTGTCTCGAGCAGGACCATGGCAGGAGGCTCCACCAGGATCAAGAAGAACCTGCGAGACGAGAAAGCACAAGAACTCCGGGGAAGAAGTGAAGTTAGTAACATGCATTAATGGGACATGAATGAGTGCAGAAAGAGAGAGGAAGGGAGGAGCTCAGTGCACCATGGGAAATCCCCCAATAGTCTAGGCCTATAGCAGCATAACCAAGGGATGGTTCAGGACTCACCTGATCCAGCCCTAACTATAAGCTTTATCAAAGAGGAATGTCTTAAGCCTACTCTTGAATGTGGTGAGGGTGTCTGCCTCCCGAACCACAACTGGAAGCTGGTTCCACAGGAGAGGAGCTTGGTAACTGAAGGCTCTGGCTCCTGTTCTACTTTTAGAGACTATAGGAACCACAAGTAGCCCAGCATTCAGAGAACGTAGTGATCTAGAGGGGTAATAGGGTACTATGAGCTCTTTAAGATATTGTTAGTGTCAGCATTGTCCAAGACTACACTTGGTTTTTTGTTGCAGAGTCCACCCCTTTGGTCCAGGTTGGAACATCTAAACTGTTGTATGGTTTGCTATGGACTTTTTGTCCAGTGATTTTGGTGCTCCCTGACTTTTCATTCGTTGCCACAAGTTAACATTCTAGCTTTGCAGTGAAATCTCTCTCTACAACTGTTGGATGGATCGCCATCCAATGTTCAGGGTCTTCTCGGGATGAACCCTAAATTGTTTGACCTGACTTCAGTGAAGTCAATGTCTTTTATTTAGAGTATCTCCACATGTTTTAGATGGACTGGCACTGATATTTCTGGTTCCTAGAGGACAAATCCTAAAAACTTTTCATCTAGTGCCACCATGAGTGTGTTTTTAAAAATGTTGGGGTAAGGGTAAAATATTTCTAAAACCATTGGATGAATTGCTGTGAAATTTGGTTCTGACATTCACATTCCCCTTAAGATTAATTGTAATGACTTTGGTGATGACTTTTAGCGCCCTCATCAGACCAAATATTCCATTTGTAACTACCAAATACCTGCAAAACTAATGATATTCACATCAGTCATTCATCATGGTACCTGTTAAACACCAGCATGTTACCATTGTCAGTGTGACTACAGATGGTCCGATACTATTTTCTCTTTCCCAATATGGATTCCTCAAATCCTCATACCGAGAACCCATCTGATACATGTGCATAAAAAAAAGGTATTCCTATATATTCGTTTTTACCCAGCTAATACTACTAATCCTGGCTCAGGTTAAACCCTTTGTCAGAGTCAGGGCGGGTCATGACTAAATGGCTAACAGTACACTGCTGAGAAGGTTACATGGTATCTGATAAATGAACAGACGCGTACTGGCTGATGCTGCACTTTAGGCAGTGCCAGAGGAGTTTCCGATACTGGTGTTGGTGTCGGAACAAGTCTAAGTGTGACTGCTGATGTTAGCACTTAGCTTAAAGCACTGCTGTGCCTAGGTACAGCCGTATGGAGCATGCCTCTAGACTACTAGTTTTGTTTGGCTGTGACAGTTATATGTCCTTCCTCTTCCTTCCCTCCTTTTTTCTTCATCTATGCCAGATTGAACACATGAGTAATGTCATTGTATATGTTACATGACCACAGGACTAGCCTTAGCCCTTCTGCTTTGGGGTGCCCCCCCACCACATCTTAACCACTCAGTCATTTCTATACCTTTTCAAAACCACTAATACCACAGGTATGAAAATAAATCATGTGGATGGGGGCCTTCAGGTTTTAGAATGGCTTCTTTGGTATTTTAACGGCTGTTTGTGTCTTAGCCCTGACACACATACCAAGCTTATTTCAAAGGCGGTTGCAAAATGTTGCACTCTCCTGGCAGGACATATTTAAACAGAGTAGCATTGCAAGCAAGTGTGAGGGAGTTGTTAGAAAGCATTGGGGGAAATGTAGGAAATTATTATCAGAAGTAACTCCTGGAATGCTGTTCTTAGAATACAATGAATATGTAATGTTTCTAAGGCTCACTCTTTAGCAGACACTATAGGAACGGTTGGGGAAACAAGCTTCATTACAATCCTTTATGTTCTTTTCCAAGTTTGTATCATTATGCGTGCTCAACTTCAAAGTAAAATCCTCAAACAGCGCATATGCGTGGGCAGCTGTTATACAAAAGCTTTAATACTCATTCTTGGCTGAGATAATGGGCACCTGTCCGAGCCATAATCACAGTAATTCTGCTTCCGGGGTTCGGTATGAACACAGCCAGATTCCACAGAGACAGTGATGTGCAGCAGGTCAAGTTATGCATCTAGCTGTAGCGTAGCAACATAATGGGCTCCACATGGACATCCAGCCCTGTTTCCTCACCAGAGCCGTCTGACACATGAGTAATCTCTCACAGTAAAATCTGTGTGTGTGTGTGTGTGTGTTTGTGTTGCAGGTGTCTGGTATCGTGGGCAGGGCTGACGTCTTGGCCTGTCTGCTGTTCTTACTGACGTTCCTCTCCTATATCAGGTAAGGTGACTCTGTACCACCCCCGCACCTTGCACACACTCAAAGTTCTTAGCTTCATCTACGGATGGATTGTGCATTTTCTCTTTATTGGCATTTTTATGTTTCGCGCGAGACTACTGACGTTTTTTTTCATATCGTTTCATACGGTTGGTTGATCTTATTGCAGACGGGTGACAAATGAAAGGAAAAACCTCAATAACTAAGTGGAAAAACATAACGAAAGGACAAAAAAAAAAAAAACGGACAGCCCTCACTTTAGGGACGCTTTTTATCTGAAACAATGCTCTCCCCTCGTTCTCCTCTGTTGTGAAACAAACTGGAGATATAGTGAATCACTTTGTAACACGGACAGAGCTTTTTAAAACAATGAAAATAGATGTCCTGAGCAACGTTATATGGTATGACAGTGTTCACAATCAAACGACTTATGCATATCACTGCCCTAGAGGTGTTTTTTAAACTCTTTAATTGTTTCCACCCAGTTTTAGCAACAAAAGCTTGGAGAAAGTCCACAGTCTGTATTGAGCAAAGCATTTACAGATTGGCTTGTGAGTCTACTTCCAGGATGACAATGCATGCATCCATAGGGAACGTGGGCTCACTGAATGGTTTGATGAGCATGAAAATTATGTGAATCATATGCCATAGCCTCAGGGTTCCCACGCAGCCTGGAAAGTCTAAAAACCTTGAAGTTTAGAGACTACTTTTCCAGTCATGGAATCACCCAGAAATTGATTAAAATGACCAAAAGTCCTGAAAATAGTTTAGGTTGTCAAAACTACATAAACCTGGAGGTGTTTTTTGTTTGAAACTCAACTGTTGCTAGGATAAGCTGCCTGAAAACTGGAGTTAAAAGTGTCAATACATGGCCTACTGGTGATTGATATGACTGTTTGTGATCAAGTGCTGTCCTAATTGTCCAGAAAACTCCTGAAAAATGTCCTGGAAAGGTTCTGGAAAATTATTTCTTAAAAAGAGTGGGAACCCTGAGCCTTCGTAGTCATCAGATCTCAACTCAATTGAACACCTATGAGAGATTTTGGACCGATGTGCTAGACAGCGTTCTCCACCAGTATCAGCAAAACACCAATTGAGGGAATGTCTTTTGGAAGAATGCTGTTACGGTAAATGTGAAACAAATAAACACAACAGCGTTTTTGACGACCTCAGAATGAGACTCAGCAGTCAACTATCACCACCTTTAATTGGTCACCCGTCTGTATTTTTCTACTATGCAAAGATTTGTTTCTTTTGTCTGGGTAACTGGTTTCTGTTTTTTTTTTATTCTGATATCATTGGCTATTTGAAAATGAAGAAATATTTGATATTAGTCGCATTCAAGATTTATGATGGATTATGTAAATGTGGATTTAAAATTATTTCTTTAAAAGGGTGGGAACCTCAGATAAATCATTACAGATTGGTAATGCAATTAATGAAATAAATCTGTAAGAGTTTTTACTGATAGCAAATATGGTCTTATAGCAGCTTCAACCAATACAGTACCGGAAAACTGTTTACTCAGAATAAGTAACTACTCAACTTTGACAGAAGTAGAACATGACACTAACCTTTCTACCTCATAGGGATCAAAGGTCAGCACCTAGTATGTGAACAGCCCAGCACAACAACGGACTGACAGATCTGTACCTCAGTGGCTCCCAAGCTTCTTCTTTAATGGACCTTTTTCTATCATTGAGTAAACTGACAACCCCTGAAGTCACATATTTTATAGATATTTCATGTTATATTCAGTGACAACTGATAAACTGAACAATAACCCCAAATAGTGTACACAATAACTGCAGGAAGATTATTTCCTGTGAGCTACAGAAATTTCCCCTAATATTTTTAGGACTTTTTTTTAACAATTGTTAACAAAAGTCTGTTTTATGTATTTTTTAATGTTTAACGATCATACATACTTAATAGGTTTCTCTTTTTTTGGATAAATTCAGTGTTTTCTCTTGTTCTTTTAGCTCTTTGTTTGAACATTTCTAATGCAGGACGAGGCTGTTCATCAGAGACTGAAGGCTCTGTGAATATATCTTGTGTTCAATTAAATAATATAACAATTATTTAAAATATTTCATAAATTAAATAATATTTTATAAATAAAATAGCAATTCCATCACAGAAATGAATAAAATTCTGAGACCTACTGTGAATATTTTTTAAGTTTTTCCCTTAAAATCAAAAGGCCTGGCGACCCCCAATGAAGCTTTGACAACCCCTATTAGGGGTCCTGACCCACAGTTTGGGAACCACTGCTATAACTGATGTTCACCTGCCTGTTCAACAGTGGGTGGAACGCCATAATTCCAATTGGAGAGATAAGGTTAATAAATGGTTGAAATAATAACTCACAGTCCAAATCATGTAGCTCTGAAGTGTCTTAATTGGCATTCATCCTATTAAGACTACCTTTGTAGCAGTGCTTGGGTCTGATTAGGTTGCTTCTATTCCCTTAATGCTTATGTTACTTTGTCTAATTCCTGAATGTGACATTTCATATTTGCAGCCTAGACACAAATCTTAATTAACACAATGAAGCAGTTCATTGCACTTATTTTAATCATTCTACAACATGACTATTATACTAAATGAACAGTGAGGCACTTGTCCTTCTTGCCATCCTTCCTCAGTGATTGGGCTTTGGCTACCCTGTTATCATCAGTCATTATAAATCACCTTTGTTCTATTTCCTCTGTCCCTCAGGAGTGTGGGTGTGTGTGTCTCTGAAGATTGTCTGCCCTCCACGGTGTCAGTGGGGTGTCTGCTGGTCAGTTTGTTGCTGGGCACCTGCGCCATGCTGGTCAAGGAGACAGGCATCACCGTGTTTGGAGTGTGCGTGCTCTACGACGCCCTGGTGCTCTGCCGCAAGCCTCTCATCTAGTAAGCAACACAGAGTTTTTTCTTTTTTTATGTTTTCTTTGTTTTTTTGTTTTTTTTTATCTTGATTTATGTGGCGATGGCCTGCTGAGCATGCACACAGTTTTTCAGCAACGCTTGGCTTTATATTTACACAGCCAAACTCGTTTGCACCTGGGAGCTGCCCACTGCAACCGTAGACAATTTGTTTTGGAGTGTGTTTTTCCTGAAACTGCATAAATAACAGGGATAAGGAGGACTCTGTCTGTATTGTCTGTATTTTTAATGTCTATGTGGGTGTTTGTGTACTTTTATCCATTACCATACATCTATGCCAAACGGCATTATTTTCAGACTAATTAATGGGGGTTTTGGCTTTAGGATGAGAATTAATTCAGGCACATAGAGATGATGGGTAAAAGTAGGAGTTGTATGCTCATTAATTGGACCGTTTTTTTATAGTTTGCGCTGTATCTTTCTTCGTTCCTTTTATCTGAAAGGCCTGTGTATGATTTTCAATTTGCTTATGTAGACTTCTGACTTGGCTTGAGAGTTACCCCAAAAGATTAAAATCTAAAACATAAGCAGTCCACAGAGCTGTAGACCTGAGACAAGACTTTTTAATAAATATACACTACCAGTCAAAGGTTTGGACACACTTTCTCATTTAATTTTTTTCCTTTATTTTTATGACTATTTACATTGTAGATTCTCACTGAAGACATCAAAACTATGAATGAACACATATGAAATTATGAAGTAAACAAAAAAGTGTTAAATAACTGCTATGGCTAGTAAAACAGGCTAACTTTAGCCGACCTGCCCGGTCTTGTCACTTCAAAATAGCCACCCTTTGCTTTGATTACTGCTTTGCACACTTTTGGCATTCTCTCGATGAGCTTCATGATGTAGTCACCTGAAATGGTTTTCCCAACAGTCTTGAAGGAGTCCCCAGTGATGCTGAGCACTTGTTGGCCCTTTTGCCTTCACTCTGCGGTCCATCTCATCCCAAACCATCTCGATTGGGTTTAGGTCAGGTGACTGTGGAGGCCAGACTATCCGGCGCAGCACTCCATCACTCTCCTTCTTGGTCAAATAGCCCTTACACAGCCTGGAGGTGTGTTTGGGATCATTGTCCATTTGAAAAATAAATGATGGTCCAACTACACGCAAACCGGATGGGATGGCATGATGCTGCAGGATGCTGTGGTAGCCATGCTGGTTCAGTGTCCATTCCTTGTGTTTCTTGGCCCAAACAAATTTCTTCTGCTTGTTGCATTTCCTTAGTAGTGTTTTTTTAGCAGCTATTTGACCATAAAGGCCTGATGCGCAGTCTCCTCTGAACAGTTGATGTAGAGATGTGTCTGCTACCAGAACTCTGTGTGGCATTCATCTGGGCTCTAATCTGAGGTGCTGTTAACTTGCGATTTCTGAGGCTGGTGACTCGGATGGACTTATCCTCAGCAGCAGAGGTGACTCTTCCTTTCCTGGGGCGATCCTCATGTGAGCCAGTTTCGTTGTAGCGCTTGATGGTTTTTGCGACTGCACTTGGGGACACATTCAAAGTTTTTGCAATTTTCCGGACTGACTAACCTTCAGCTCTTAAAGTAATGATGGACTGTCGTTTCTCTTTATTTAGCTGATTGGTTCTTGCCATAATATGAATTCTAACACTTGTCAAATAGGCACAAATGAACCCTGACAAGGCACACCTGTGAAGTGAAAACCATTTCAGGTGACTACATCATGAAGCTCATTGAGAGAAGGCCAAGGGTTTGCAGCGCTGTCAACAAAGCAAAGGGTGGCTACTTTGAGGAATCTAAAATATGAAACATATTTATGGACTTGACCTTATTTTTTGGAGGATGGGTGTGGAACTGTGGATGGGAGTCTGGACTTTAGGGATACAGGACACGGCAGTTTGTTGACTGTTAACTAGGGGTGGGCGATATATATCGTTTGCGATAATTTCGTCATTGTTGTTTTGACAATGTGCAAATTTCCATTATCGAGTATTTAAATTACTTCGCCAAAAATATTGAAACGCACGCGGAAACTCCTCACATCCACTTAATACACGGTGCAGCAACGCTCTCTATAGCATGGCAGGATTCAGTCACACGACTAGTGGGCCTACGTGTTCACATGACGTGATCACATGACCTCTCGCTAGCATCCTCCTTGCAACGGTTTAGCAGCGCGTTGTGATGGTAGAGAGAAAATGCAAGCACCTCCAGTTAGGGCTGAACGATTTTAGGAAAAGCTCTAATTGCGATTTGATTCACGATTTCCTTCAAATCAAGCTTCAGTGCAATATTCAAAATGTACAGTAACATTAAAACATTAAATGCTATTACTCTAATGCAAGGATGAAAACTAAAGTTAAAAATTGCTTCCAAATGTATTTATTAACAAGAAACATGCATGTACATTCTTTAAAGTCCTTGACCAACGGCAGTTATTACAAATGAACTAAAAGAGCCATCTTTGACTGTCTTAACTTAAAAAAGTAGTGCAAAAAATCCTTAATTGTGTTACGTTAAAAAAAAAAGTTAAATAAAATACAAAAACTCTTATTAAAATAAAATGATCCTTCTGAAAAATATGTCAGACATTAAAATAGGTGGGTCATTCATTTATGGCTCAGCAGCACCCAAATATTGTCTATTCTGTAAACAATAGAGCATTTTTCCTGAGAAATAGCAAATATCTTTTTTAAACAAAGGCTGACACCACAAGTCAGGGTGAAGTGCAGAACAAATACAATCTCAAAAGTACTTAACAACAATACTTGCTTCCCTGACATCTCTACATCACTCTTTACAGATTTTTTGTCAAGAAAACGTGTGTCTCCCGGTGTCTTCGGCTGCTTTTATACGGAGTTACACTGGCAAAAGATGTTGTAATTGTTGTCTGTTTGCTACAGTGGGCCTGATTATCATTTTCACCGGACTTTTTCGTTATGCACTCGTCATGCAAATGCCTGTGGTGATTTTTCAAGTGCCGGTATAAATTGGTCGTGTTTCCGCTGGATGTTGCAACTTCAGCGCGACAGGTTTTGCACGGTACCTGTTTCTGGTGCACTTCTGCAGCCTCAAACCCGAAATACTCCCAAATGACCGACGTGCTGTTTTTCTTGGGGATTAAATCCGCTTAACTCCGCTTCTGATCCAGCTGAAGCCGTTTCTGACTAATTACAATTAAGGAGCAGGTTAATACTGATTGGTTAGCGTGACCTGTGCACAAGTAGCATGCCGCTTCTGATTGGTGAGCTTGGCAGGATGGTAGGGAGACGGCATGTATGTGTAAAATAGTTGACACAACAGATCCTGGGTCAGTCAGGAGCGCTGCAAAAAACGCAGCTTTGGCGATCACATGATCGCGTTGTCTGAAATCACAATTTCGATCAGAAAATGATAAATCGTTCAGCCCTACCTCCAGTCCCTGAAGCTACCGGTACTTCAGATGATTTAGTGCTGATACAAATCCTATGAGCTTCAGCGTTCAGAGCGCTAAGCGTCTTCAGCGGTAAAAAGATGTCACGCGGAGACCTTTTTTAGCGCAGCGATCAGAGCGCTTCAAGTTGAAATGTGTTCAACTTTTAACACCGCTGGGCGCTTGGAAAATGAGTTTTTGAGCGCCTTTGGTGGACACAAGCCCTAACTCAGACAATTCCAATCACATTTGAAAGGATATCGACTGATTATCGTTATCGCCAAAATCCCCAAAAATATCGAGATTTTATTTTTTGCCCATATCGCCCACCCCTACTGTTAACCCCTCATATTACACAGCGAACGCTGGTTAAAACATGGTACCTGAGAGTTGGCACCACTTCCTAACTGGCCCGTATTTTCTAGCTACAGCACCGTGTCTGTCGAAGCTGTTCCTCCCACTTGCTCAGCCCAAGTAGTGCGCATCAAGCTAGCAGCACATAAGCTCGCTCAACTAGCCAGACACAGCGAGGCAGTGCAGTGACAAGACCGGGCAGGCCGGCTAAAGTTAGCCTGTTTACTAGCCATGGCAGTTATTTCACACTTTTTTGTTTACTACATAATTCCATGTGTTCATTCATAGTTTTGATGCCTTCAGTGAGAATCTACAATGTAAATAGTCATGAAAATAAAGAAAAACCATTAAATGAAAAGGTGTGTCCAAACTTTTGACTGGTAGTGTATATATATTTTTTTGGGAGGGGGGGTGGGGGGCTTTTATTGCCATTTTATTGAGTAGTGACAGCTGAAGAATGTCAGGAGAGGGGAGAGAGAAGGACACGCAGCAAAGGGCCACATGTCAGGGCTAGAATCCTGGCCGCTGCAGCAAGGACTCTTTGGTACGTGGGCTGGCAGCTCTGCCAGGTGAGCTATCTGGGCACCCAGATGGTGATACTTTATTGTCAGATTCAGATTAAGAAAACATGATTAAGATTATTAAAACTTGTCTTGCATCACAGCAGCTCTATTTCACAGAAGAAACAAACTTAGCCAGCCTTAATATATAACTATTGTAGGCTGATTCATAGAGTTTCTCAAGGGGTTGGCTGACAATCTTTGAGCTGATTTTCATTTGGTGGAGCAGTTTTGACTTTTAAGTAGTGGAAAAACATTTGTACCATGTCATATTACAATACTGCTGACACAAAAGAAGAATTTGTGTACTAGCCCTGAAAGACCTCATGTGATAGAGAAAATATGTTCTTTGTTTTGTCTTTTTACATAGAAATTCAGTGGGGTCTTTCCAGGAACAGTTGGTCCATCATTACACATTACACCTCATTACTTGAGACTGGACTTCTGTGACAAGACTTTAATTGGATTTGCCCTTGATGTTCCAGGACTTGCTTTCACAAGAATTAAGACAGCTACAAGCAACTTTTGTTTTGTGTTGATTCTGGCGAGCCCTCTGGGGGGGGGGGGACTCAAACCCGATGGTAGGCATCACAGCGCTGAGAATAACATTTATGTAAAACTTTATAGAAGCTTGGTTGTGATCTCAATGTGAGTAGAGGAACCTTTAGGCCTTTT